ATCAAATGCTTTAAATACCAAGGATTTGGCCACATTGCTGCGGACTGTCCTACTCGAAGGGTTGTCACCATTAGGGAAGGATCGGGGTATGAAGCGCTTGAAGAAGATGAGGAGGACGCTGAGTTCTACGACACTGATCTCGTATATGATGAGGAGGTCACACCTGCTGATCAAGGAGAAGCATTGGTACTTAGACGAAGTCTGCATACAACAGTAGTCAAAGAAGAACCTTAGCTACAATGCAACATTTTTCACACTCGTTGCACGGCCCAAGGAAAAGTTTGTAATGTCATCATTGACAGTGAAAGCTGTGAAAATGTAGTATCTGACTACATGGTGGAGAAATTAAAGTTGCCAACACAAGATCATCTGCAACCTTACAAGCTTCACTGGCTCAACAAAGGGAATAAGGTAAAAGTTTCTAAACAATGCCTTGTGACCTTTTCTATTGGGAATCGATATTGTGATGAAGTTTTATGTGATGTTGTTCCTATGGATGCATGCCATCTTCTCTTGGGGAGGCCATGGCAATATGACCGACATGCTATGCACAACGGGCGAGCGAACACCTATTCTTTTACAAAAGATGGTGTCAAGTTCACACTAGCGCCTTTGCCACCCAGTGAGATTAGCCAATCTTCAAGGGAATCTAGTGTCTCTAAACCATTAGTGTCTTTGATGACTAAGGAGGAATTCAAGGTGTTGAAATCCAAAGCCTAAATGATGAGCTTTATTCTGGTGCTTGAGGTGAACAACGAGACGGCCAATCCACCTGGAGTCATTCCGCTATTGTCAGAATTTCTAGATGTAATATCCGATGAGATACCATTAGGGTTGCCTCCAATGCGAGACATACAGCATGCCATTGACTTCATTCCAGGTGTAGTCATTCCTAATAAGCCTGCTTACAGAATGAGTCCCCAGGAACATGCCGAAGTCCAACGGCAAGTTGAAGAGTTGTTGAAGAAAGGGTTAGTTCGAGAAAGTATCAGCCCTTGTGCTGTACCTGTTCTTTTAGTACCTAAGAAGGATGGAAGTTGGAGGATGTGCATTGACTGTCGAGCCGTCAACAAGATTACTATTAAGTATCGGTTTTCGATACCTTGGCTTGATGATATGCTGGACCAGTTGCATGGTGCCACTACTTTCTCCAAAATTGACCTTCGTAGTGGGTACCATCAAATCAGAATTCGGCCAGGAGATGAATGGAAGACCGCTTTCAAGACCAGAGATGGCTTATATGAGTGGAATGTGATGCCTTTTGGGTTAACAAATGCCCCTAACACATTTATGCGCCTGATGAATTAGGTATTGAGACCCTTCATTGGTAAATTTATTGTTGTGTACTTTGATGATATTCTTATTTACAGTAAGAATCAAGAGGAGCATTTAGATCACTTGCGGCAAGTTTTGCAAGCCTTGCGTGAATAGAAGCTTTATGCAAATCTCAAGAAGTGCACCTTCCTCACTAGCGAAGTTGTGTTCTTGGGTTACATCATTACCGCAGAGGGTGTTCGCGTTGATCCAAGCAAAGTTACAGCCATTGACAACTGGCCAATTCCAAAATCTATCTAGGAGGTTCGAAGCTTCCACAGATTAGCTTCTTTTTATAGGAGGTTCATTCATAATTTTAGCTCAATTGCTGCACCACTTACAGATTGCACTAAAGGAGAGAAGTTTTAGTAGACAGAACAAGCTCAGAAAAGCTTTGAAGAGCTTAAGAAGAAGTTAACTGAAGCTCCAGTCCTAGCTCTTCCTAACTTTGACCGAGTGTTTGAAGTTAGCTGTGATGCTTCTAACACCGGCATTGGTGCTGTCTTAAGCTAGGAGCGCCATCCCATTGCCTTTTTTAGTGAGAAGCTCAATGATGCCAAGTTTAGATATTCTACCTATGACAAGGAATTCTATGCCATTGTTCGAGCTCTCCAACATTGGAGTCATTATCTCCTGAATAAAGAGTTCATACTTTTTTCGGATCATGAGGCTCTCAAGTATTTGAATTCCCAGCAGAAGATCAGCTGCAGACATGCTCGTTGGAGTGAACTTTTACAGTCTTATCCATTCCTTATCAAACATAAGGCTGGAACTCTGAATTCTGTAGCTGATGCCCTTAGTCGTCGCCATATGCTACTTACAACACTGCAAACCAAGGTTGTTGGATTTGACCTTGTCAAAGAGTTGTATCAAGATGATCCTGATTTTTGAGGAGTATGGGAAGCAACTATAAATCAACCTTTCCACCAGTTCTATAGACACGACAGGTTTTTATTTCGAGGTAAAACCCTCTGTATTCCAGAGGGTTCCTTGAGAGAAGCCATAATTTGGGAAGCACATGACGGTGGATTAGCTGGATATTTTGGATGAGATAAGACAATTAACCTAGTGAAGGAGAACTTTTACTGGCCTCGACTTGAACGGGATGTCAACAGGCATATACAGAGGTGCAGAATTTGTCACTTGGCTAAATCCAAGGGTCAGAATACTGGACTATACATGCCTTTGCCAATTCCAGAAGCACCTTGGGAAGATATAACTATGGATTTTGTTCTGGGTTTACCACGGAATTAGAGGCAAAAAGATTCTATCATGGTAGTTGTGGATCGTTTCTTAAAAATGGCCCATTTCATCCCATGCCAGAAGACCAACGATGCTGTTCAAGTAGCAGACTTGTACTTTAAGGAGATTGTGCGTCTTCATGGCATTCCTAAAACTATCACTTCTGACCGTGATGTGAAGTTTCTTAGCCACTTTTGGCGGATGCTATGGAAGAAGATAGGAACTAAGCTCCAATTTAGCAACGCTAGTCATCCCCAGACAGATGGTCAAACTGAAGCTATAAATAGGATTCTTGGTAATCTTCTTCGCAGTTTTATGGGGAAGAATTTGAAGCAGTGGGATCTTATTCTTGCTCAAGTTGAGTTTGCTTATAATAACTCTGTCAATCAAGCAACTGGGAAATGTTCGTTTGAAATTGTTTATGGCACTCGTCCCCTTAGTCCACTAGACTTGAGCCCTCACTTGATAAACAGCAATACAGCTTTGATGCTGACCAAAGGGCTAAGGAAATTAAGAAGTTGCATGAGTAAGTCCGCGAGTGAATCCAAAAGCAGAATTTGAGATACAAAGCTCAATGTGACAAGCATCGAAGACAGCAGACTTTTAAGGTAGGAGACTTGGTTTGGATACATCTACAAAAGAAACGATTTCCTAAATAGCCAAACACCAAGTTGTCCTCAAGAGCTGATGGTCTGTTCAAAATAGTGCAAAGGATCAACAATAATGCTTACAAGATGGAATTACCTGGTTCTTATGGTGTATCTGCCACCTTCAATGTCGCTGATTTATCTCCATACGTTGATGAAGATGATGAATTTGACTCGAGGGCGAGTTCTTCCCAACCCGAGGAGGATGAAACGGAAAGAGCAGAAATGAGCTGAAACGGAAGTCACACACATAATGAAGCAGAAACGGGAGACACACATAATGGAGCATAATAAACTCTTTGTAACCTCCCCTTAATTTCTGTAACCCCCTTTTAAATTTGTATGGTTTAGTTTCACGAATTCTAGGACTATAAATAGGACCCTTGTGGCTGTGAAAGAGGCAGACTTAAAAGAATAAGAATTGTTTGTTTTCATCTGGTTTCTGTGCCACAGACGTTTAATAGGGTGAAATGTTAAAATTAGGGTTCATGTTTGTATCTTCTCAATATTCTAATTTCTTGCATATGAGGTAAGATAAAAATTAAAATAGGAGAATTATATATAAGTCTCACACAATATATCTTTTTTTTTTAATACACGGCTAGGGTAGAATTGTGCAGAGAAAACCAAAATCAGATAATGTCAAAAGCCATAAGAGTTATACAATCAATAGGCGGATTGTCAAATAAGCTAATATCAAAGTTCTCAGTTGATGCCTTGTGGGCCATTAGGTTAGCGCATTTATTGGTTTTTCTATAAATATGATCAAAAGTGATCTCTTAGCCACACATGATAAAATTTTTGATTTTTCTGATAATAGCTGAGAAGTGGTGGTTTTGAGGAGAGTTGCAAATAATGAGTGATAAGGCCTCTATAGAATTAAAGTAAATGTTGACTTTAAGAATTTTAACATTCCAGCAAAAGTTAAGACCTTCCAAAATTCCAATCAGTTTCACTGCTATGCTAAATTGGTAACCAATATTTTTGGAAAATCTTTTAATTTAGTTGCCCTTATTATCTCTAATTAGGCCACCACAAGTAGCAATTCCATTAATGTTAACAAAACTATTGACGTCTAATCTGACCCAACCTAGCTTAGGGGATGACACACAGCATATCTAAATATCATAAGGTTGATTGATAACTCAAGCTATCATTTTCCTTTACTCAATTGTCAATATACTTTATAATATTTAATTTTGTTGTGTGAGATCTTAAAATAATTTTTCTAATTAAAATAAACAAATGTGATAATCAATTAAAGGGTGAAATACCAAATGGCTGGAATAATTTCTTTATTTTTTTTTTGACATTAGGATAAGATTTTAATGATTGGGGGCCAATAAATAAATGCATGTCTACAGCACACCCAAGTAAATAAGAAATTCTTTTTGTTCTACTTCTTTTATTTTTATCTATAAGATATTTTTAATTGAATTATGTAAACAAATGAAAGTTGATTATCAAATTAAAAGTACAGTAACATTTCAATTTTATCTCTAATTATTCTAAATAAAAATAAATATTTTTTTAAAGTAAATTAATGAAAGTATTTATCTTTTTCTTTTTTAATTTAATAAAGATATAATGATTCATTTATTAAAAAATATATCAATAATTTTTTATATTTAAAAAAAATATAAAAAATTTTTTATATATAAAGACGGAGAAAGTGCTCTTCATATCAATTACAACAAAGAACGTAAAAGTAGAAAATAGAATCCAGATGCTCAATTATTTCATTCTCTTGTTCTCTGTTCTTCTAGTTCCTCGCTTCTTCGCAAAATCTCTGTTTTCCCCCTTTTTTATAACATGAAATAATTTAGAAAAAGAAATGATCTTCTGAGATAATCTTCCAAGGGCCCACTTAGAGGCGAGTCCCATGGGTGACGAATCCCCCACCAGAGTAGACCAAGAGGCCCCCATCAGCTGCCCTGTCCAACGGCCACAAAACAATCCTTGCAAACGTTGTGAAGACCGCGTTCTCTCCTCTGATGAGCGTTAATGGCAACATCTTTAGGGCGGCGCTCTTACTCTGCTAATCAAATACTTCACGAAGCAGTCTGAGCTTGCGGTCGCGGTCGCGGTCGCTAAGGACAACAGAACCAAGACGGCCGCAGAGGATAGCGATGCCAACACTAATGCACTGCCAATAGGTATGGATTCTTCCCTCGGCTTCGTTGGTGGAACTTATACGCTGTCTCTGTTTGAATAATGGGACATAGTCTGATACTCACATCTTAGTGATTTCACGGAAGTAATTGATAAAAGCAAAGGAAGACCCTGTGATTCAATATTAAATACATAATAAAATCATATAAAAATGACCATGTTTACTCTTTGTTTAACTACAATACCGCAATTGTGCTAGTTGAGTTGGGCCTATTACGATTCTGTTACTATTCATGCTAAATGGACAAAATTCCTGGAAAATATGAACAGCACATGTAGCCTCAGCAGCAACAACCGTTTTTTTTTTTTTTTAAAGCTTCTTGAGGCACACTACAATAACATCAAAATTTAAAGCCTAAATAGCACCGCCGATTTGATTGATAATGTATATTTGAGGGAAGCAAAGAGTTCATCATCTAAAGCAACCACATTTTCTTTTCCTGAAAGTTGCTGCCTCAGAAAAATTATTCCATGTGCATACTGTGCTTTTGTTTGTGGAAAGTTATTCATCACTTCTTTCTTCTTATTCTGTTAAATCAAACCTACCAGAAATTCTCTTTTAGAATCTAAATTTGCAATCTTTTTCATTCTCATTCATTTCTTCCGATACTTTTGAAACACATCACCAGGGGCACTATGACTAGCTCAATTTAGTTTCAAATTTTTACTTATAATATATTGAACAAAGTATTGAAGCTCAAATCAATAATCTCTTGCCGATGTTTCAAGCGCTATTCTTTCAAACTTGTTTTAAAAGTTTGTTTTACCTGCAATGTCAAAGCGTTTTCATGAAACTTGATCATTCTTCCAGTTCTTATATTTTCCTAATGAAAACTTTGGCCTCCCTTTTGTCTTCTTACTCTTACAATTGTTTGGGCTCATGAATTATGATGATTAAACATGCTACTAGATATCCATAATCCTTTCACAATTTCACCAGATATATAGAGGACATAAAATATTTGTCCTTGATCACATTACTTGAATTATATGCCATCTTATATTTAACATTTGATCATTCATGCTTGTAATATAAATCTGTAGTGAAAATTCAAGAAGGGTTGCGTTGTGCATCATGAGTTTAAACCCTAGAGAAATTATTGCATTGTGTAATATAAATCTATTAGGCCCATTAACCCTTCATTTTTTGGGTTTGTTAGTTTATTCTTATCATTATAGTCAGCATTATCTCTATAATACAGATTAGGATCTTATCATTTATTTTTATTTATTGAGAGAGGATTTTAAACGATTTAGTCAATCTCTCTCTTCCTCTATGCGTATCGATCATATTGATGAACAATAAATAAGCTGCACCCTGTTCTCCCTGCAGGCAGCGGCCTACGTTTAAAAAAAAAAAAAAGGAATGAAATATGTAGGAAAGCTACATGGATGGTGATGCATAAGAATTAGAGAAAAGGGAAGGAAAGAGAGAAGATAGAGAAAACAGAGAGAGAAAGAGACTAGAGAGAGGAAGATAGAAATAGGGAACTCAAGACTATTATTTTCAGAACTGATTTTCTAGAACTGATTACGACGGTCTTTTTGGTGCCCTTTTATAGCCCATACCTGACACCCTTAAGTAACTATCCTAACAACCTATTAACCCTTTAACTAATATTATTTATTTATTTATTACATAACAATACTCCCTCCCCAAAAGACCCTTGCCCTCAAGGGTCAAGTACAAAAATTTAAAAATCCCCAGAAACTCATTTGTAATCTTGAAGAAGACAAGTAAATTGACTGAAGGTGTTTCTAGCCTTATTTAAAGTGAAAGCATAGGAGATAGGTCCATAGGCACGTGAATCCATCAGACAATAGGTATTGGGCCTTTTAGGTCTAACCCAGTCCAGATTCTGACTATTCCTTCCTCCCTCTCTGTTTTTTTCCTAGACTTGAGAATATCATACCACCACCATATTAGCCAACCCACATGAGCTAGGTAAGTGTCTGACTTTTCAACACCTAAAACATGCATCCATATGATTCTCTGAGCAGAAAAAACAAGAAACTCTTTTTCTTTCTTGAAAACTTCTATATTTCTCATTCTTGTATACTTCTCTCTTGTTCTTGGAGCTCGGACAAAGCCCTCACTTCACAAAGACTTCTGGGTATGCAAATGAAATAGGGATAGCGATGAAGAAATAAAGACAGGCAATGCTAAGGAAGTATGCAGAGGCCATGATAGATGAAACCAAGAAGACAGCTGCAGCGACTTTGGAAAACCAAGAGTAGATGAGGTTAAAAGCCTATGATCATGAGGGACCCAGAACTCTGCAACTTGACTGAACTGCTGTTTCGAAACTTCCTGAACAGCTCGACTCATATCAGCTTCAAGATGCAAAGGCGGAGTGACTCTGTTTGAAACGGACGACTTCGGCCTACCTCGAGTCTCCTTGAAATTACCTTGCTTGACGTCAAGAATACACTGGAGCCCTTTCGCGATGTTAGCATCATGTACTAAGGATTGTTGAACCTTGTCACATATTTCTTGGGACGTAAATGAACAAGACCCCTTATCTTTTTTATAAAGAGAGGTTTCTTGCTCAATCTTAAACTCTTGTGACCCATAGTTATCTTGAGGTACCTGTTCCTTCTTTTCTATCTGACGTATTAGCATGATTTATTGCATTCTTGCAAGACTTCTAGCTTCCTGCATCGTTCTTGGTTTGAAGAGATGCACTGGTTCTACGAGTTCTGGTTTAAGCCACAGCCACATACGCAGAAACCAAATATTTTTCTTGTAATTTTAACTTGCTAGTGTGGCTATCAAAGAATTCATTGAATTCTTTCACACTCCCCTGCTGACAAAGCCATATCTTGTGCTCATCCTCATATTCTTGGAATGAATGGTGTGCCATGGCCAAGGATGACCGGCTCTGATACTACTGATGCATAAGAATTAGAGAAAAGGGAAGGAAAGAGAGAAGATAGAGAAAACAGAGAGAGAAAGAGACTAGAGAGAGGAAGATAGAAATAGGGAACTCAAGACTATTATTTTCAGAACTGATTTTCTAGAACTGATTACGACGGTCTTTTTGGTGCCCTTTTATAGCCCATACCTGACACCCTTAAGTAACTATCCTAACAACCTATTAACCCTTTAACTAATATTATTTATTTATTTATTACATAACAATACTCCCTCCCCAAAAGACCCTTGCCCTCAAGGGTCAAGTACAAAAATTTAAAAATCCCCAGAAACTCATTTGTAATCTTGAAGAAGACAAGTAAATTGACTGAAGGTGTTTCTAGCCTTATTTAAAGTGAAAGCATAGGAGATAGGTCCATAGGCACGTGAATCCATCAGACAATAGGTATTGGGCCTTTTAGGTCTAACCCAGTCCAGATTCTGACTATTCCTTCCTCCCTCTCTGTTTTTTTCCTAGACTTGAGAATATCATACCACCACCATATTAGCCAACCCACATGAGCTAGGTAAGTGTCTGACTTTTCAACACCTAAAACATGCATCCATATGATTCTCTGAGCAGAAAAAACAAGAAACTCTTTTTCTTTCTTGAAAACTTCTATATTTCTCATTCTTGTATACTTCTCTCTTGTTCTTGGAGCTCGGACAAAGCCCTCACTTCACAAAGACTTCTGGGTATGCAAATGAAATAGGGATAGCGATGAAGAAATAAAGACAGGCAATGCTAAGGAAGTATGCAGAGGCCATGATAGATGAAACCAAGAAGACAGCTGCAGCGACTTTGGAAAACCAAGAGTAGATGAGGTTAAAAGCCTATGATCATGAGGGACCCAGAACTCTGCAACTTGACTGAACTGCTGTTTCGAAACTTCCTGAACAGCTCGACTCATATCAGCTTCAAGATGCAAAGGCGGAGTGACTCTGTTTGAAACGGACGACTTCGGCCTACCTCGAGTCTCCTTGAAATTACCTTGCTTGACGTCAAGAATACACTGGAGCCCTTTCGCGATGTTAGCATCATGTACTAAGGATTGTTGAACCTTGTCACATATTTCTTGGGACGTAAATGAACAAGACCCCTTATCTTTTTTATAAAGAGAGGTTTCTTGCTCAATCTTAAACTCTTGTGACCCATAGTTATCTTGAGGTACCTGTTCCTTCTTTTCTATCTGGCGTATTAGCATGATTTATTGCATTCTTGCAAGACTTCTAGCTTCCTGCATCGTTCTTGGTTTGAAGAGATGCACTGGTTCTACGAGTTCTGGTTTAAGCCACAGCCACATACGTAGAAACCAATATTTTTCTTGTAATTTTAACTTGCTAGTGTGGCTATCAAAGAATTCATTGAATTCTTTCACACTCCCCTGCTGACAAAGCCATATCTTGTGCTCATCCTCATATTCTTGGAATGAATGGTGTGCCATGGCCAAGGATGACCGGCTCTGATACTACTGATGCATAAGAATTAGAGAAAAGGGAAGGAAAGAGAGAAGATAGAGAAAACAGAGAGAGAAAGAGACTAGAGAGAGGAAGATAGAAATAGGGAACTCAAGACTATTATTTTCAGAACTGATTTTCCAGAACTGATTACAACGGTCTTTTTGGTGCCCTTTTATAGCCCATACCTGACACCCTTAAGTAACTATCCTAACAACCTATTAACCCTTTAACTAATATTATTTATTTATTTATTACATAACAGATGGTGATGATTGAAAGATAGTAAGAGATAAAGATTTTAGAGATACTAGGGAAATTAGCAGAGTAAATGTGGGAACTGTAGAGTTTTTAGAGGTAATTTAATGTAAATTTAAATATTGACATGTAGACTAACACATAAGATTCAATTTATTGAGTTGATACTTCTTTGGTCCTATTTATAAGTCACTTTCAACATGTTTCACCAATACCAAGGAAAACTTTAAAACTCATTAACTCTGTCTTAAAATTAAATAAGTTTTTAACTTTGCCCCTATTAAATATATATGTTTCAATTACATATCTTCTCTCTCCATCATTCAATGGAGGGTAAAAGAGGAAATTTGTAATGAAAATTTAATGACGTGACTTATAAATAGGAACAAAAAAAATTTTCTCTCTTTGCCCTATAAATAAGATCAGAGGGATTATATTTTTATCGGACAATATATCAATGACATGGTACTTCAAACTTACCTAATAATTTCTCTAAATCCAAATGGAAGATAGCAACCAAAAGGTACAAGAAAAGAAAAAATCACCTACATCTTGTATTATCCTTTCATAAACTTCTCAACAACGTGTGCTTTGTTTCTTTCCCTTTTCTAGTATGTTTTAAAGTCTTATCAAGAGGAACAAGATGTAGAACCAATGGCAGATGTAGGACCTTGAGTCAGTGGGGGCATAAATTATATAAAATATAAAAATAATTAAAAACTAAAAATTTTATATAAAAAATAAATATTTACATACCTTACAAGTTTTCTCTATGTGGCTTTATGTTTTGAAATTGTTGAATGATCAGTTCATTGTCAATGCTATTAAACCATAGGTTTTCCATTTGATTATGGAACCGATTTTTCACAGACTTAGCAAAAAAGGCTCTTTCTACAGTTACTGTGGCAACAGGCAATATCATTGCTAGCTTTAATCAATTTCTCACACTTAACCTCACATTCTCATGCCATTCACTTTGTCTCTCGTCTCAGACTCTATTTTCTAGCAAAGAGTCTCTCCATCTTCCTGTCTTTTGGTCTTCTTTTAGTTTTTGTATGTTTTAAAATTTTAAATTTCATTTTTATTGAGGTTATTTATTATTTAGTTTGACTTTAGATTTGTAAAAATATTAAAAAGGAAAATTAAAATTATTTTCTTATAAAAGTAATATAACTTTAAATATAATAAATTTAAAATTAAAATCTATTAGGCTTAAGTGAAATATAAAAGACTTAAATATTTTTGAACCGAAATACATTTTAGTTTGGGTTTGCTGGGTTTAAAATTATAGGGACAATGGGGGAAAATTTTTAAAACCCCTCCCTCTGTAATTTTCCCAATTTGAGGGGGGGCAACTGCCCACCCTCGACAATATTTAGGTCTGCCACTGTGTAGAACTTTCCAAGGTCATAAAGATAATAGAACTTTTGACAAAGTTCACCTGAGAGCAATACTCTTCTAATCCTATCTATAAGTCACTTTCAACATGTTTCACTAATACCAAGGAAAACCTTAAAACTCATTAACTTTGTTTTAAAATTTAATAAGTTTTTAACTTTGCTCCTATTAAATATATACACTTCAATAACATATTTTCTCTCTCCAACATTCAATGGAGGGTAAAAAAGTAAATTTATAATAAAAATTTAATGATATAACTTATAAGTAGGATCAAAAATTTTTTTCTCTCTCTGCTCTATAAATAGGACTAGAGGGAGTAATTGTCTAATACTACACACTTAAGCTGCCAGGCTCATTTCTTATGCTGTAACGCTAGCAGCAGAAATAGGAAGTTTATTTTTTATTAGCACTTTGCCAGATTGGGAATGGAGCAAACACACCACCATTCAAAGGAGGGAACATGACCATAAATATTCATTGTATACGGCAAACATGCTTAACGTTTAGGATTAACAAGATAGAAAATCTTCTGTAGAAACAAGGTAGAGCTACCCTATTGCAGATATTGAAAGTGTAAGTCAATGAAGAATATACTTTAGGTCTTTCAAAATGAAACAGAAACTTCACAAACTCCTGTCTATCTCCCCTCAAAATTAGAGATAGTTACTTTATTGATGGAAGATAATTCATCATTTTTTGGAGTTTGCTCTGCTGCATGAGACATGGTCTGCCTGAGGATGAATGCAGGTTGGTTTGGGAGAGGAATATCCATAATCTCACTATGAAGCATTGACATTACAGAAGCCATCGTGGGCCTATCTTTTGCAAGTTCTTGCACGCACAAAAGCCCAATATGTATGCATTGCAATATGTCCTTGTAAAAGCTTGGATCATATATTTGTGGATCTATTAGAGGCATAACATTGTCATCGATCCATAATCTCCAAGCCTAGAAACATTAACAAGTAAAAATGATAGATGTTTAACTTCAATGTTATATTAAGGCTACAGCTATTTAAAGCTTTTGCAAGAAGGGAAAGTGAAAATTGGAGAGGCTTACAAATCCTAAAAGTGTGAAACATTCCACATCTTTATAAAAGCTAGTGTTTTTTCTTCCACTAATAATCTCCAACAGTAAAACACCAAAGCTAAAGACATCAGATTTCTCTGAATAGAGTCCTTCTGCTGTATATTCTGGAGAAATATAGCCACTGCATTATAAACTACATCTTTGAGATCTCAATATGCTAATAATATAATTATCATGGACAAAAGAAAAGGAGCACTTACTATGTTCCAACAATTCTTTTTGTATTTGCCTGGTTTTCACTACCTCCAAAAAGTTTAGCCATTCCAAAATTTAATATTTTTGGATTCATTTCCTCATCCAATAATATGTTACTTGCCTTCAAATCTCTATGTATAATTCGTAATCTTGAATCTCTGTGAAGATAGAGCAATCCTCTAGCTATTCCCTTAATTATGGTGAAGCGCTTTTTCCAATCTAAGGATTTATGTTTTGATGGATCTGCAAAAGATTGTTTAAGTAAGATGTGATGAAAGTAGATGGTCAAAAGAAGACAATTTACTCACTTCCTACATTATTATAGCAGGTGGTGGTATATTTGCTATGCGAGGCAATTACTTGTATATTAATAAACCACTTTAATTGTTCATTGACTCCATTGAACTTGCACATCAATAGATACAAAACCTCACATGAACTTATAAAATTGGGAAGTATTCCTACAAATGTCAACAGAGTGGTGGCATAAGGTAAAATAAAATTTGAAGTACCATACTTTTACTTCTTTAGGTATTCATAGACAATCAAGTTTTCATTTTTCTCCTCCATTCATCCTATGCAAAGAATATAGAAACATCCATTTAATAAACGGTGATATGCATAGAGGATTGGCACTAACCAAATATGTATGTGTCCAAACTTTTGTTTGGCATGTATTCATAAACCAATATCTCTTCTTCAATGCAACATCCAAGAAGTTTAACAAGGTTTCGGTGTTGAAGCTTAGAGATCAACTCCACTTCATTTATAAATTCATCCATACCCTGTCCTGATAGTCTTGATAGTCTTTTTACTGCTATTTCCTGCCCATCTTCCAATATCCCCTGAAATAAGATGATAAAGAACATTAATTTCTTATGAACTGAAGGATTATAAAGTTCAAAAAGAATGAAAATCACCTTGTAAACTGGACCAAAACCACCCTGCCCAAGTTGAAGTGATATATCAAAGTTATTTGTTGCAGTTTCCAACTTTCTCAAAGAAAACAATGATAGATCTGGAACATGGACTTGCTTCAGGGGCATCATCCTTGTTTTGTCTTGATTCTGCATCTGTGTTTCCCCTGATTTTCACACATTGCCCCCATTTTATTTCACCGAAAAACATATATTGCTATTCTAATACTAGGTTCCAAGAGCTATGAGTTAACTATATGAACTTGTCGCACATTCTGTATCAAAATGATGAAACTCAAAAGTTCGAGAGATTATCTATGATCACAAAGCTAAGATTGTACCCAATCTAAATAACCACAGAGAAGATCACTCATCCTTTTAATGAACCCTTATAGTAAACGTGAAAATTACCTTTTTGGTTTGAGCATTTTTTCCATAAGAAATATCCAGACACCATAATGAGAATTGTTCCTGTCAAAATTGATATTATAATAGGCGTTGTCATCTTCCTCTTGCCTATGCCTGTATCAAAGAAAACAACATTCAGCGAGCTTTCATTTTCTGGCAATAATTTCATCACTATACCACATATATTGTCATCAACAGGCTATAAAGAAATTAAAAAAACAAATAAATAAAGCTCTTCGTGTATTTGTCATGACATTTGTTTTGCAAAAACAAGCACCACGCTAGTTGACTCCTTGAAATAAAATTGCTCCCTCATTTTATAATACTTTTGAAGAATCTTAAAAATAAGTTAAGAAGTAACATTGCTCTCAAGGATGTTTAACATGACATACATATAAACAGCCATGCAACGAGATATATAGTGCTTAGTGAAATTTAAAGTTGAACCAAATCCTAGTTGGGTGTTGAAGACATGTTGGACTGTAAACAAGTGTGTTCTAGGGTATTTTAAAGAGCTTTCTCTAATTAATATACATACCTAGTTCTGAGTGGGCTAAACGTATGTAAACATCAATCCCTCCGTCTGGGAAGTTTTGTATGTCAAGTAAATCTACATTCCAAATCATACAGCCAAGGTTTCTTTCATGGGCATAAGCGATACAAGAGCAATTCTTGAGGCATGTAGTTTCACAATCTATAGTAGCCTCAAAGTAAGAAGGTAACACTTGCACATCATCTGGTAATTTCACTCTCTCCAGCATCCAAAATCCATCTATTTTGCTAGCTTGAGAATCATTTTTTTCTCTCGCACACTGAAGTGCTTCTCTTCTGACACACCCACCGGTCCAGTTCTGCCTTCCCCATTCTTCTTTGTTCCTTGGTTCAAACCCTCTCAAGCAGCTGCAAATTCGGAAGCTCTGCCAATTACAAACCCCGAATGGACCGCATATGCCATAAACATCACACTCTGAAGAACCAATTATCCTCAAAAGTTCCAATCTGTTTGTCTGGGAATTCCAACGCCGTTGTTCTACTTTACCTTGAGGATTTAAGGTAAAAGTCGCGGGAGACTTGTCTGAAAAAAATAGTTCCAAAGTCCCTTCCTCTTCTTTCATCTGAAACCCATCCCCGGAGTTTGTTGAAGCTATCCTTGGTAAACCAAGGAAGTCTATGCCATCCCAGGGACCAGTTCGAAAGTAAGGACGATTTTCTTTCCACACAAATACTTCAGTTACGTTACGGGCTTCAAGACCGCAAGAAAATTCTCCATAAGATGGATCAGATGCACTTCTCCAAGATGTAAGTTTCACTTTCTCACCTGTTCTTTTATTAATTATGAAGTTCATGTATGGTAATAGTGTATTGCCAGGATGTTGGAAACTCTGCCACACGGATACTCCTGTAATTCCATCAGCAAGGATTAGGTTGCCAGAATCCAAGAGTTGAGCACTGGAGTTTGAGGCAACTTGTGAGACGTTTGTTGACCAAAGAACCTGTTTTTGACCATTCAAAACAACAAGATTGCCATTTTCTGATATTGTCAGAATTCCCAAAGAATCTATTAGTGGGTTGTTTCTGTTAGCAACCCAAACAATAGAGGATTTGGACATGTACGAAATTCCCACGTGGCGATTAGTGGAATTTTGAGGACTGAAGAATCCTAGTGTGAACATGTTATTACTTGAGCTCACTGTTTCAGGTTCTTGGATCGACATAGATGATGCAATGGTGTCCAAGGCACATACCACAAGAGTTGAAGAGAACAAACGTACAAGGAAAGCAAGTAACAAGACTTTATTGAATCCCATGAAGAACATTGATTTCGAAGTGCTGTGAAGGATAACCCCGTATAATATACTGTATTTCGAACTATTTACCTTTTCTTAAACTGCGACTTCACTGGAGGAAGAACAAAACCTGCAACAATCTGGAATTTTTGCAGGGACTTGGTCGCCATTCGCATTGTATTGAATCTTCTCATTCATCAATCATATAGTCTTCTAAAAAGTTATAAACAATAGAATTTTGACAAATATACTTTCCTCTGCGGTCGTGGGCCTTGTTGCTGACATCTTATCATAGGATTTTATTGATCTTGCTGTCAGTAGTTCTGTCTATGGCTCTTCATCTATCAAATATCAAAAATAGTTCAATCAGTTTAGACTAGCTTATTTTGGTAGAATAGCCAATCTATGTTGCATGGTCTATTCAATTATCTTATAGATAGATTCGAGATGATGACGTGCAAATTATTTGACCAGAACATGAAAGTTACGTTCCAAGAAACATCAGTCTCCATCTAATATTGAATTATTGATTAATGTGTGTATTTAGGTTTAATGCAATAGATAATATTATAATATCAGTAGCTAGCTTCTATTATTTATCCACAAAAAATTTTCAATGAAGCACAATGACATTTATAAATTTATAATTAGTTAAGTAATACTTCAATTTGATTAATCATGTAAATCAAATCAAACTTATTGTTCGGATATATTTTTTTTAAGCATTTTTTTTTATGCATTCAAAGCTGATTTTTTACTGTCGACAGCTTTTTCAGAGGCTGTAAAATGGTCCCAGTTCAAGGAAAAAACTGTTCAATGAACGAAAGATTCAAAAGATGTGTGGTCCTTGACTTTTCAAGTTTTAGGCAGATAAGGAACTTCGATTGTTGCGTTCCAAATTATTGGAGTAGAATTCCATTGTTGTATTCAAGACTTCACTATTGAATAAATTGATTCTCTTTCCTTTCTCTTTCGCTCTCCTTCGTTTCTCCTTTCCTTTCTCCGTTTCACATTAATTGGTATAAGAGTTATGTTCTTACTTCTTTTTCTTGGATTGCGTTCTCACTACAAGCCTTGTTCACTCCCTTTTCGACATCTGTTTAACATGGAACTACAACCATTGTTTTCGCCTCGGCGAACTTGGCTAGGCCACCAGACCATGTTGCCAGTGGACACCGCACGCGCCCCACAAACAATAGCCAAAAGTTTCTACGAATGACTCACACGCCACACTTGCCGTGTGTTCCACGCACCCCATGAAGAACGTGATGATTATATGAAATTGAGGAAGACAATGGGTTTCAGAATTAATGCTGTGGAGGATAACTCATATAATATATTGTATTTTGAAATATTTAGTTTTTCTTTACTGTGACGCCGTTGTAGGAAGGAAAAAAAAAATCTGCAAAAAGTTAAAATTTTTCATGGGACTATTATGAATTCCAATAAGAACCTTACAAGCAGAGTAGAGCTTGTAAGGTTGTGAGAGACTTTTCTATCTAACATAGTAATCTTTTAAAATGAATTTTTTCTTTAAACATGTGCTCTTGATATTAGTGTTTTTATTGAGAGCATGATATCACAAATAAAAAAAAAAACCATCCACGAAAGCTTTTAATCAATAGGAAGTTAAGTAAAGTGTCATGAAGTGAAGCCGCCAAACACATAAGCTATAATTATGGTAGCATTGTTGTGCATCCTACAAATGTAGTGAGATTTATAAGTGTGAAAGACTTTCCTACCACAAATTAATTTTTTTAAAATGCATGATACATGGACTTGGTTGCTAAAGACTTTCAATTTTTCATAGTATTGAAAATTGAATTGGCTATTAAATCAGTTAGGATTAAGAATCAGGGTCAGGTATTCAATCAGGATTAAATTGATTATGATAAAATAATATATTTTTTCATTATATAATAGATAATAAATATTTTATTAAAAAATATAAATATATAAAATTTATAACATATATACTTTTGTTTTTGTTTCTATCTATTCTCTAGCCTAACAAATATCATCATTATTTCTCTCTCATCAATGCGCGGCAGACTCACCTTACCTCTTTTGACTTCACCTTCACACGTTGGGTCACAAATCTGGTCTTCATCTCTTTCTTCTTTCTTCATCTACTACTATTTCTACATGTTTGCTTAATCTTTGAAAATAACGCACACAACACAGCATCGAGCATTTGAGCAACAATGCAACACCTAGGGACTAGTGAGGAAGGTGAGACCCACAATGTCCATTATGGACGCCGAGGTACACTGAGGAACATTGAGGGATGGGGAGAGCTCGGCCGACATTCGAGAGCGAGTGAAGAACTGGAGATGAGAATTGAAGAGTCGTAAAAGAGGAGAAGGAAGAAGAAAGATTGAATGAGTTTCACAAGCTTTTATCCTCTTCTTGTTTTTTGCATTAAAAAATCTAACGTGCCTAACCCGCTTAACCCATGGGGTTAGGTGGGGTGATTTGAGATTGAATCACCTAGGTTAATCCGAGTCAAACGTGTCCACTTTAAATAAGAAAATTAGATGGGTTGATTCGGTTTGATTTTGCAAATAATGCAATTTTTTTCGCACCGTACGACTGTTGAATCTTTCCCTTCATCAATCCTAGTTTTCTGAACAAGCTGCAAGCAGTAGAATTTTGACGCGTGTATTCCTCCAGTGCGGTCATTTTCTCAAATTTGTCTGTCCCACAGGTTTAAATTTGAAGTTGTTGGAGAAAGTTTAGTTTTACTTTCTCCCATGGCCCAAATAAAAGTGATGTCCAAATTTTAAAAAAAAATCTAAGAATTTTTATCTGTGTGTTTTCTCTATCTTTTTAATATTCTTCCAAGGGTTCACTTTGGGAAACGCATTTAGTGCTCGTCACTCATATGAAATGATCAAAGCCCTTCAATTTTTTTAAATGATGTATGCCGTTAATTTAAAATTATTTTTTAAATATTTTAATATTATATTTATAAAAATAAAATATATAAAAATTATAAAAAATTATAATATTAAATATGAACTGTTTTTTAGATTATTAGAGGATAAATGTTACAATACTCATCACTCCAGATAAAATTTAAATAATTTAAATTTAAATTTTTTACTTTTATTTTATTTATTAAAATAAAAATATGTAAAAAATATAAAAATATTTAATAAACTTCTTTATACCAATCTGGCAATTTGGATGAAAAGTTTAATATTATTTTTTAATAATTTTTATAAACTGATTATCTAGATGTATTTTAAATAGTATAGATATAATTTAAAAGATTTAATTTAATATTAAAAACTTTATAATTTTAATTAATTATTTATCTAAATATATTCTGAATATTTTATATTTAATATTATAATTTTATTTTGATAAATATAATATAAAAACATTTAAAAATAATTTTAAATCAACAGCAAAAAAATAACTTAAAAAAAAAAAGAAGGAAGGGTAACCCCATAGGGTGACAAGCAGCATTGATGAGCACCGATCTCCCTTAGAGGAGAGTCCCATCAGTGACGAATCCGCCCGCAGAGTAGACAAAGAGGCCGCCATCAGCTGCCCTGTCCGACGGCCACAAAACAATTCTTCATGCAAACGTTGTAAAGACCGCGTTCTCTCCTTTGCCGAGCGGCAATGGCAAAATCTTTAGGGCGGCGCTCTTACTCTGCTAATCGAATACTTGACGAAGCAGTCTGAGGTTGCTGTCGCGGCTGCTAAGGACAATAGAACCAAGACGGCAGTAGAGGATAGCGATGCCAACACTAATGCCCTGCCAATAGGTATGGATTCTTCCCTTGTCTTCGTTAATGAAACTTATACGCTATCTCTGATTGAATAATGGGACATAGTCTGATACTCACATCTTAGTGATTTCACGGAAGTAATAGATAGAAGCAAAGCAAGACCCTATGATTCAATATTAAATACATAATAAAATCATATAAAAATGGCAATGTTTACTCTTTGTTTAACTACAATGCCGCAACTGTGTTAGTTTAGTTGGGGCTAGTACCATTCTGTCACTATTCTTGCTTAAAAAAAAAAAAAAAAATTCCTGGAAAATATGAACAGCACATGCAGCCTCACTAGCAACAACCGTTTTTTTTTAAATACAGCTTCTTGAGGTACACTACAATAACATCAACATTTAAAGCCAAAATATGTAGAAATTATATTACAATTCCTTCAGATTCTAATGATTTCACTCTCGAGCTCATCTAGCTAGCTCCTTTTTCCCTACAGATGATCATGTCTGATCCCAATACAGACTTTCATGTTATACCTGTAATATTGCTTCTGTGACTATGATATAGCCAGTTCATTATTTGAAGTCATTTTCTGAAATTGGAGACTTTGATATGAGAAGCTGAGCATTCATTGCAAAGCAAACCAATTCAAATTCCACCGCGGATTTGATTGATAACGCATATTTGTGGGAAGCAAAGAGTTCATCATCTAAAGCAACCACCTTTTCTTTTGCTAAGAGTTGCTGCCTCTCGTCTTAGAAGGAAAAATTATCCCATGTGCATATCTGTGCTTAAGTTTGTGGAAAATAACTAATCACTTCTCCTTTAGTCTTCTTATTCTGTTAAATTAAAGAAATTCTCTTTTAGAATATATATTTGAAATCATTTTCATTCTCATTCATTTCTCCCAACACTTTTGAGACACATCACCAGGGTCACTATAACTAGCACAAATTAAGTTTCAGATTTTTTTCCTTAAAATGTATTGAACAGAGTATTGAAGGTCAAATCAATAATCTCTTGCCAATGTTTCATGCGCTTTTCATTCAAACTGATTTTGAAAGTTTGTTCTGGCTGCTATGTCAAAGGGCTTTTATGACACTGGATCCTTCTTCCAATTCTTATATTTTCCTGTTGAAAACTTTGGCCTCCCTTTTGTCTTCTTACTCCTACAATTGTTTGGGCTCATGAATTATGATGATTAAACATACTACTAGATATCCATAGTCCTTTCACAATTTCGCCAGATATATAGAGGACATAAAATATTTGTCCTTGATCAAGTTACTTGAATTATATGCCATCTTGTATTTAACATCTGACCTTTCATGCTTGTAATATATATCTGTAGTGAAAATTGCAGAAGGGTTGCATTGCACATCAGGAGTTTAAACCCTAGAGAAATTATTGCATTCTGTAAAAAAGGAAAACGTCATCTATATATTCTATTCTCCTTTCATAAACTTCTCAACATGTGATTTTTTTCTTTCCCTTTTCTAGCATGTTTTAAAGTCTTATTGAGAGGAAAATGATATAGAACTTTCAAAGCTCATAAAGGCGATAAAACTTTTGACAAAGTTCACCTGAAAGCAATAATTGTCTAATACTACACACTTAAGCTGCCAGGCTTATTTCTTATGCTGTAACGCTAGCAGCAGAAATAGGAAGTTTATTTTTTATTAGCACTTTGCCAGATTGGGAATGGAGCAAACACACCAACATTCAAAGGAGGGAACATGACCATAAATATTCATTGTATACGGCAAACATGCTTAACGTTTAGGATTAACAAGATAGAAAATCTTCTCTAGAAACAAGGTAGAGCTACCCTATTGCAGATATTGAAAGTGTAAGTCAATGAAGAATATACTTTAGGTCTTTCAAAATGAAACAGAAACTTCACAAACTCCTGTCTATCTCCCCTCAAAATTAGAGATAGTTACTTTATTGATGGAAGATAATTCATCATTTTTTGGAGTTTGCTCTGCTGCATGAGACATGGTTTGCCTGAGGACGAATGCAGGTTGGTTTGGGAGAGGAACTTCCATAATCTCACTATGAAGCATTGACATTACAGAGGCCATTGTGGGCCTATCTTTCGCAAGTTCTTGCACGCACAAAATCCCAGTATGTATGCACTGGAATATGTCCTTGCCAAAGCTTGGATCATATATTTGTGGATCTACTAGAGGCATCATATTGTCATCAATTCATAATTTCCATGTCTAGAAACAAGAACAAGTAAAAATGATAGGTGTTTAGCTTCAATGTTATATTAGGCTTAAGGCAATTTAAAGCTTTTGCAAGAAAGGAAGGTGAAAATTGGAGAGGCTTACAAATCCTAGAAGTTTGAAATATTTTGCATCTTCACAAAAGTTAGTGTTTTTTCTTCCACTAATAATCTCCAACAGCAAAACACCAAAGCTAAAGACATTAGATTTCTCCAAATAGAGTCCTTCTGTTGCATATTTTGGAGAAATATGGCCACTACATTTATAAACTACATCTTTGAGATCTCACTATGCTAATAATATAATTATCACGAACAAAGGAAAAGGAGCACTTACTATGTTCCAACAATTCTTTTTGTATTTACTTGATTGTCACTACCTTTAAAAAGTTTAGCCATTCCAAAATCTGATATCTTTGGATTCATTTCCTCATCCAATAACATGTTACTTGCCTTCAAATCTTTGTGTATAATTTGTAATCTTGAATCTCTGTGAAGACAGAGCAATCCTCTAGCTATTCCCTCAATTATGGTGAAGCGCTTTCTCCAATCTAAGGATTTTTGTTTCAATGGATCTGCAAAAGATAGTTTGAGTAAGATGTGATGAAAGTAGATGTTCATAAGAAGACACTTTACTCACTTCCTACATTATGATAGTTGGTGGTGTTATATATGGTATGCGAGGTAATTACTTGTATCTTAACTATTTGTATTAATAAACCACTTTACTTGTTCATAGACTCCATTGAACCTACACATCATGAGATATAAAACCTCACATGATCTTACAAAATTAGGAAGTATTGCTACAAATGTCAACAAAGTGGTAGCATTAGGTAAAATAAACGTTGAAGTACCATACTGTTATTTCTTCAAGTATTCTTAAACAATCAAGTTTTCATTTTTCTCTTCGATTCATCCTATCCAAAGCATATAGAAACATCCATTTAGTAAACGGTTATATGCATGGAGGATTGGCACTAACCAAAGATGTATGTATCCAAACTTTTGTTTGGCATGTATTCATAAACCAATATCTCTTTTTCAATGCAACATCCAAGAAGTCTAACAAGGTTTCGGTGTTGAAGCTTAGAGATCAACTCCACTTCATTTATAAATTCATCCATACCCTGTCATGATAATCTTGATATAGTTTTTTTACTGCTATTTCCTGCCCAGCTTCCAATGTCCCCTGAAATAAGATGATAAAGAACATTAATTTCTTATGAACTGAAGGATAATGAAGTTCAAAAAGAATGAAAATCACCTTGTAAACTGGACCAAAACCAGCCTGTCCAAGTTTGTTTGATATGTCAAAGTTATTTGTTGCAGTTTCCAACTTTCTCTGAAAAAAATGATAGATCTGGAATATGGACTTCCTTCAGGGGCATCATCCTTGTTATGTCTTGAGTCTGCACCTTCGTTTCCCCTGAGTTTCACAGTTTCCCCATTTTATTTCCTCAAAAAACATATATTGCTATTCTGATACTAGGTTCCAAGAGCTGAGTTAACTATATGAAGTTCTCGCATATTCTGTATCAAAATGATGAAACTCATGTTGGAGGGATTATCTAAGATGACAATGCTAGGATTGTATCCTATCTAAACAATCAGAAAGAAGATCACCCATCCCTTGAATGAACACTTCTGGTAAACTTGAAAATTACCTTTTTGGTTTGAGCATTTTTCCCATAGGAAATATCCAGACACCATAATGAGAATTTTTCCAATCAAAACTGATATTATAATAGGCATTGTCATCTTCCTCTTGCCTATGCCTGTATCAAAGAAAAGAAACATTCAGAGATTCTTCATTTTCTGACAATAACGTCATGACTATACCACGTATATTATCATCAACAAACGATTAAAAAAAAAAAAAATAAAGCTCCTAAAGTATTTGTCGTAACACTTGTTTTGCGAGCAAGCACCTTGCTTGGTAACTCCTTTTTTGAAAGAAAATTGCTCCCACATTTCATAATGCTTTTGAAGAATTTTAAAAATGAGAAGTAACATCTCTCCCAATGATATATGACATAACATGTAAACAGCCACGCAACAAGCTTGTAGAGCTTAGGTGAAATTTAAAGTTGAACCAAATCCTGGTTGAGTGTTGAAGACATGTTGGGCAGTAAACAAGTGTGTTAGGGTATTTTAAAGAGCTTTCTCTAATTAAAATAGATACCTAGTTCTGAGTAGGCTAAACGTATGTAAACATCAATCTCTTGGTCTGGTAAGCCTGTAAGTCAAGTAAATCTCCATACTAAATCATACAGCCAAGGTTTCTTTCATGGGCATGAGCGATACAAGAGCAATTCTTGAGGCATGCAGTTTGACAGTCTACAATAGCCTCAGAGAAAGAAGGTAACACTTGTGCATCATCTGGTAATTTCACTCTCTCCAGCATCCAAAACCCATCTATTTTGCTAGCTCGAGAATCATTTTTGTCACTCTCACACTTAAGTGCTTCTCTTCTGACACACCCAGTGGTCCAGTTCTGCCTTCCCCATTCTTCTTTGTTCCTTGGTTTAAACCCTCTCAAGCAGCTGCAAATTGGGGAGCTCTACAAATTACAAATCCCGAATGGACCACATTTGCCATAAACATCACACTCTGAAGAACCAATTATCCTCATAAGTTCCAATCTATTAGTCTGGGAATTCCAGCGCCGTTGTTCTAGTTTACCTTGAGGATTTAAGGTTTAAGTCTCAAAAGACCTGTCTGAAAAAAAATAGTTCCAAAGTCTCTCCTTCTTCTTGCATTTGAAACCCATCCTTGTAGTTAATTGAATTTGTCCTTCGGACCCCAGCAAAGTCTGCGCCATCCCAGGGACCAGTTCGAAAATAAGGACGATTTTCTTTCCACACAAATACTTCAGTCACATTACGGGCTTCAAGAGAGCAAGAAAATTCTCCATAAGATGGATCAGATGCACTTCTCCAAGATGTAAGTTTCACTTTCTAACCTGTTCTTTTATTAATTTTGGCTTTCATGTATGGTAATAATGTATTGCCAGGATGTTGGCAACTATGCCACACGGATACTCCTGTAATTCCATCAGCAAGGACTAGGTTGCCAGAATCCAAGAGTTGAGCACTGGAGTTTGAGGCAACTTGTGAGACGTTTGTTGACCAAAGAACCTGTTTTTGACCATTCAAAACAACAAGATTGCCATTTTCTGATATTGTCAGAATCCCAAAAGAATCTGTTAGTGGGTTGTTTCTGTTAGCAACCCAAACAATAGAGGATTTGGACATGTACCAAATTCCCACGTAGCGATTGGTGAAATTTTGAGGACTGAATAATCCAAGTGTGAACATGTTGTTACTTGACCTCACTGTTTCAGGTTCTTGGATTGACACAGATGATGAAATGGAGTCCGAGGCACGGCCCACATATGTCAAAGAGAACGAGCATGCAAGGAAAGCACGTAACAAACAACCTTTTTTATTGAATCCCATGAAGAACATCATGATTATCGGAAATTGAAGAAGATAATAGGTTTCAGAATGCAGTGAAGGGTAACTAATATAACATTGTATTTTGAACTTTCTAGTTTTTCTGAAGCTGTCACTATTCCTTGGGGAAGAAAAACACCTGCAAAAATTTGGAATTTTCGTTGAGTTAGTTGCCAATGACTGTCACTTTTCATTGTACAACTGTTGAATCCTCCTATTAATCAATCCTTGTCTTCTAAACAAGTTGTAAACAATAGAATTTCCACACATATTCCTCTGAACTATTGTCATTTTCTCAAAGTTGTCTGCTCCACAATAGAATTTTGACGTCTATATTCCTATGCAGTGCTGTCCTTTTCTCAAATTTATTAGAAAAGTTGAGTTTTTTTTTACAGCCCATGTTTTGTATTTGTTACAAAAATGTTTTGGATTTAATTGTATTCGAAATGGATTTTTTGTTTTTAAAAACAAAAACAAAAACATCTTGAACTGTGTTCATTACTGCTATCTGTTGTCTCTTAACTAAGTTGTTTTGAATTAACACAACCACAAGTCTTATCTTACTAGACGGGATCAATTACATAGATTATATAATATCATTGTGCTCTATTATTTGTTAAGCTTTTAGAAATATTGTTAGTTAAATGGTCTCGATCAACTTTTAAAAATATTTTCGTTAGCCTTCCTCTATCCTTCTTAATAGGACTTAAAATTATTTGTTTTACTCTCCTCATAGGTGCCTTTTGTAATCTTTTTTGTATATGTCCAAACTATCTGAAATAATTTTTTATTATTTTTCCTTCAATAGATGCGACACATACTTTTTCCCCTATGTGTTCATTTCAAATTTTGTCTATATGTTTATATTTGCACATCCATCTCAACATTTTCATTTCTATTGCTTTAACTTTATGCTCTTGCTGTCCCATTAAAGTCTAACATTCACTATCATATAATATTGTTAGTTTTGTAGTAGTTCGATAAAATTTTCCTTTAAGTTTATTAGGTGCTTGAGAATCGCAAATATTCCTTTAACCTTTCTCCAATTAAACAACTTAGCTTGGATCTTATGTGTAATATTTCCACCAATTTTTCCATTATGTTGAATAATTTCTCCCAAATATCTAAAATTTTTTACTTGAGGTGTAATTTGATTACTCAATTTTACTTCTAAATTACTACTCGCTGATCTCTTATTAAAATTATAATGCAAATATTTCGTCTTACTTTTACTCAGGTGGAAACTTTTTGAATCTAATGTCCTCTTCTATCAATGTTTTTAGAACCATATCGAGCATTGAATCGAAAAAGTCAGCGGTTCACGGTTCGCATCATTTACCTGGTGATGTAATAATTAAATTAAAAAAATTATATATGTATATAATTTTTTAAATATAAGAAATACATATGAAATTGCTATTTAACTTAAAAAATAAAATATTTTAAGTTTATTATGACTTAACAAGCCACATGATATAACATAATATCAAATGATTAAAAAAATTAGTCATTTTTTTAAAAAAATTTGATAAAAATAAAAAAACAGTCTGGTTTTTGAAAACTGAATCCGGTTCCTGACTTGATTTTGGTTCCCAGTCCAACTGTCGATTCAAAACGGCTCAACCGGCTCAACTCTTAAAATGGTTTTTTCTTATGAACTATACCGAAAACCAGATCAATCGACGGTCCGACCGGTTTGATCATCCGGTCCGATCTGATTTTCAAAACACTGTCTTTTATAACTTAAATTTACAATTAATATTTTCTCTTATTTTTGCAATAAGAACTATATCATTTGCAAAAAGTATGCATTTAAGGATTTCCTTTTAAATATGCTCAGTTAAAACATCTAAGACTAGGAGAAAAAAAAAAAGGAATCAAAGATGATCCTGATATAGTCTAATCTTTTTAGAAAAGTCTATTGTTTCATCGTTAGACACTGTCAATTTTGTTTTGAATTAACATAATCAAAAATATTTTCATTTTGTTGTCTTGAAAACAATTCTTAAAAATTAGTTTATAAAATATTTTTTTAAAAAAATATTGAGAACAAAACCAAACATGCCCCAAAGATTTATGAATTCATGTGAAGTTTTTCTTTTTTTTTTTAAATATTTTCCTCATTTTATTATTTTTAAAAAGACAAAATCTACTCTCTTTTCTATGTAAAATTCAAAAAATTTACAGATTTTCAATTTCATAGGATCCATTTCATAAAAACTAATGTCCAAATTAAAAAAAAAGAGCACTAAGAATTTTATTTGTGTTTTCTCTTTTTTATATTATTTGTTTAATATGGAGTCAGCATCATATTTATATGTTCATTATTTTTCTCAATCAACATGTATTATATATGTGTTTACATTAGTAAATATTCGAATCCTTATTAAAAGAAGCATGCACATTTAATGTTTAATGTTTGACTATATGTCAAATATATATTATCTTTAGCAAGAAGGTATCTCCAATGAAAAGATTTGAATGCATGTGTGTTGTGCATGTGAGAGGGCACAAATTTATTGAAAAAAATGATACAAAAATTAACTTTTAAAAATAAATTTTTGACAAGTTAGTAGGTTAATGAATCAGATGTTCTCTAGTACTTGACCATGCTTTGAATGAATAAGATTGTCTCCAATAGAAGAATGCTTGTGAGCAATTAAAAAAAAAAGAAAATCACAATAGAATCCTCCTAAATTATATAAATGAAAATTTGGTCATTCGAAATACCATAATTCCACTCAAGTTCTTAAAAACTTTTGCGTCAATAAATTTTAAAGTGAAAAGATCGTTTTATCCTTATTGAAAATAATAAGCCTTGCTTAAGAAATAGAAACTTTTGTTTTGTAAATCATAAGAGTTGAACAAGATATCACAATTTGTTATGTGTAATTTTTGTTGTTGAAAAATAAACCCCAATCACAATTTTTATTTAAACTTTTATTATGTGAATCGTAAGAGTTCAATAAAAAATCATAACTTATCAAGTGTAATTTTTATTGTTGAAAAATAAGTTCTCAAAATGACAAACTCCAATAATAACTTTTGTCTAAAAAATACAAAATTTTTTTTAAAGAATTACAAGAACTAAACAAGAAATAACAACTTGTCAATAAAAATAAAATGATATTTTTAATTTAAAATTTATTAACACAGAAGTCCTTAAAAATTTTAGTGGAATTATGGCATTTTCAGAAATTAAATTATCATTTATATAATTGAAAGATTTTATTATCATTTTCCTCTAAAAAAATAAATCAAATGCTTTGCCCAAATTTTGGGAACTTAAATATTTGACTTTAAACACTTAAAATAAAGTTCAAATACTCCACATAATTTCTGGTATAAAAAAAATGAATCTCCAATCTTAATCGTTACCCTTGGAATGCATTTGTTTTAATTGATCTAGACATTGTCTTTTTGTTTATACAGTTAACGCGTGGTTAAATTACCTAAAAACATTAGAGGTCATTATTTGATTTCCAAGGAAAAAAAAAAAAAAAACTACATGGATAGGAGAAGGGGAGAATTTCAATATAGGACCAATGATGTGACATAATTACAAATGGGGCTCATTGAAATTTTAAATCTCACTTCAATCCAAGAAGGCTGAAATGATATTAACCTCAATGATCAAAAGACTCAAATACCTTTGGTTTACAAAGACGGATAATGTGGACTTAATTGACTAGGCAAGAAACAAGACTTCAGATGAAGTAAACACTTTCTTTGCCCATTACCACGGACCTGTTACTTAATCCCTTAGATGTATTGTCCGTAATCAACGTTTAACATTAATAACGCAATCCATGTGTTTAACCCATTCTCTTAAGTACTATTTATTTATTAGAAATGAATGGAATGTAATTGATTAAAAAATAAAAGGTAAAAATAAGATGGTCAAAGAGGATATGCCAGAATATTCACAAGAAAAATGGATATTTTAGTTCATGGAGTTGGAAATAATGATTCATGAGATTTTTAAAAGGTATGATAATTTTTACATTTATAGTATATATTAATAAATTTTATTATACTTACTCATACTTATCATGAAAGGAAGAGTGATTTAATTTATTTTTATCTTAATTTTTTCAATTCATTTTATTTCATTCATTACTAATGACCTAACGAGACCTTATTCTTGTATTTGTTCCCTTCCATTTGAACAGTAAACCCACCACCAAAGTATAAGGCGAGAATCCATCACTTAAAGGAAGATCTTGACACTAATCTTTGTTTTTTTTTTTTATTGAGTTCTAATGTGAGTAAAACTCGTTTCTCGAACCGACACAGGTAAATTGGTTACAGTTGTGTTTATTAACCGACACAGGCTTCTCAGCCATGATTTTGATAATTTATCGAATTGTTGAGAAGACATTTAGTTTAAAAACATATATGTTAGGTTGTTGCTTTGTAAATTATATGAAGCATATAATAAGAAGTAAACCTAATAAATTAACAAGACTGATGTGAGAGATTAACAAGTAATATAATATTGAATGAAATGTGGATTGTTTGTTTGCAAATTGTATGAAACATAATAACAAGTAAACCCAAGAAATTAACAAATATGATATAGAAGATTAACAAGTGATATATATTGAACAAATAACTTAAGTGTAAATCTTTGCAGATATCTAGTTTAAGGATAGATTAGCATTTGCATTAACTTAAGTGTGAAGCTTGTAAATGATTGCCTTGTAGGATGAATTATATTGATTTATTCTATGGCTCTCATGGACCATCCATCCAATTCAAAATCTACTTCACCTTTTACAGAGTCAGCTCAGAAGAAAAGGCAATAACATAATTGAAGCATGTGTATTTTTTATGTTCTCCCTCTTGTAATTAGAAATGGAATTTAGATTGACAGCAAATTAAAACTTCCTTGCACTAAAATGTAATTAGAGATAGAATGCATTTGATGATTGCTCATTTGTAATTAGAGATGAAATTTAAATTGATAAGTGATGTTAGGCATTATCAAGTAATGTTATTTGGTTTACAAGAAATATTATATGTAGTTTACAATTTAAAATAATAATTTTACAAAAAATGGATTTGTTACAAGTTTGATATTGAACAAGTAAGATATCAAGTGTCATATAACAAGTGACCATATAGAAAATTAAGTGTTGTTAAAGAATTAATAAGTAAAGTTATGCAATTTACAATTAATTTAATTGCTTTTCAAATCAATAGATTGAGCAAGTCTTGTCATGATATTAATAAGTTAAGTTATGAAATTAACCAATGTTCTTGCAAAATTAACAAGTAAAGTTAAAAAATTAACAAAT